TATTACTCTGTTCTGCCCTATTATAGTCCATTTTCATCAGTGTCCTTGACAATGCATATGCCTAAGTTATTACTTCTAAGTATTTTTGCTTCTTGTCTATGATTAATGTATCTTGATGTGGTCTAAATTTGGCTAATTTTCAGACTTGTCACACCTTGTAGGTCAAATGATGAAAACTGAATCAGAGATCAGATACAAAAATTATTATGCTTTTATTGACATTGGAAATGCATTTTGGACTTATAGTTCCTCATCAGTTCAACCATTTTTCATAGATGACTAAAATTATAGACTATAATACAGACAAATTTAATTGTCAGTTACGTAATATTTATTTACCAGTTGGTCTTTTCTTCTAAAATCTGTCATTTAGGAGGTAATAAAATTATATAAGTGTAAGCTAAATTATTTATAAATAAATCTTTGTAAAATCTTTGTAAATATGTCTAAATTAAATAGGTAGATGTGTGATCTCAGGGTAACAATTGTCATTAAGAGAAAGATCATTATATTATTTTTATATATACCAGAAATTCTGCTTATAGGTACATTTTACATGTTTGATAATTATTGAAGTGGAACATTAATGAGGCTTCTTCTATAAGGCTTACAGAATTATGTTCATTCTCAAAATTCATTCGATAGATTTTGATTAAACTTTGCCATTTTCCATTAATTGCGATGCAGAATGTGATAAAAGATGGAGGTCCATGACTTCGTTTTCAAGATATAAGGTTGTTTCATGAGCATGTGTGACAAAGCAATAGCGCACAAATTATGCAAATTTGTTGTGCATTGTTTCAAGGTCGGTAGCACTTCTTATATGGTCTTATAGAATCAAGTTTGTTCTCAAAATTCAATGGATTGATTTTGATAAAACTTAGCCATTTTCCATTACATTTCTGGATTCCTCATCTCTATTAATGTGAGTCCATTTAAATGTAAACAATCCAGCAATGAATCACTTAAATTTCTCATTTACATTTAAAATTCTGATATCACTATCTGTTAGGATATTTCATTTAAAAAAATTGTTTATTTTTTTAATTATTATAAAATGGCAAAAAGCTTCATTTTGAGAGTAGAGATGGGTTTTATAAAAAGTTGTAAATGAAAATAACGACTCTACTCAAGATATGACATACAATCACCCTTTATCTCCTCCACCCCGTTGACCTTAAACTTAATAGTATGAAACTTTCTAGTACACAAACCTTCCTGCAAAATTTCAGAAATTTTCGAAAGCATGGGAGTTAAGCTTCAAAGAGAGTAAACAAAATCGTGCTCTTCCCCACATACACATTTACATCCATACAAACAGAAAAAAAAAACTCTGAATGTTTTTGCATTTCTCAACATTTCAAGGTCCCTTAAGTCCAAAAATGTAAAAATCTTGGGAGGTCCTTTTTTGATCAATTGCTATACTTTTCCTCTGTTATATATAACAGAGCCAGGAAAGTATGGTGATTGATAAAAAATAGGAGTCCATGACTTCGTTTTCAATATACAAAGGTATTAGTGACAATGTCCATCCTCTCTGATATGACAAGCACACCTACTGGAATTTAGGCCTAGGGGTCAAAAATACAAACCGTATTATGTGCGCCTAATGAAAAATAAGTGCAAAAAACAAACAAAACATGAGCAAAGCAATCACTATCGATTGCTTTGTTCTTGGATTGTCTCTCCATACTTGGCCATTGCAAGGATCGTATCTCCCATGGCTGCAGGTATGAGAATAGCTGCTTTTGTGGTGGTAAGTCCAAAGTTTACCTGTCCACTTCCATAAGGTATTGTACAAGAATTGCCTCTTCTGTGCCTAACAGGTGCAGGTATTGTTTTTTCCTTTCGGCTCTGCTTCAATTCTATCACGATATGACAGTTATGTGATGTCCTAGTTTAAATATTATGTAACTGACAATTAAATTTGTATTATATAATTTCAGTCATTTATGCAAGATGGTTGGACTGATGGACTAAGTCTGAAATACATTTTCAATGTCAGTAAAAACTCAATTTTTGGATCTGATCTCTGACTCAGTTTTCATCACTTGACCTACCAGGTGTGATAAGTCTGAAATTATCCAAATATAGGCCACATCAAGATACATTAAGTTATTACCTTCTTTTTTTAGTGTCAATCATTTCATCCTTATTCATGGCTATTACTAACTGTTGTGATGTTCTTAAAGACATCAATTTTGAGTCAAATATGAATAAGGACAAAGTGGTTAACACCAAAAAGAAGCTAACAAATGGAATCCTTAAAGGTGTGCATTGTCAAGGATACTGATGAAAATGGACTGTAACATGATAGACCAATTTAATGTCCTAGTGTGACAGTAGTTATTTTTAGAAATAAATTAAAACTAGTCTTTAAACCATATTATGCTTTACATATTTTAAACCTTGTTTTTTGTTCTCAATTAATCCAGTTCAGTTGTTTTTGATTAATATTATTAATTTAATATATAAATAATAATAAGTTCATAATACATAAAATATATTCTTTATACTGTACTTAAAAGAAATGTACAATTTACAGTACTGAGTTTAAAATGTCTTTTTTTTTTTTTAAATTAAATTAAAATGTTTAATACTTTTATGAAGTTTATGATGACATTAACATTTTTCAAATTTATTTTGTTATATAAAATAGCTTTAAGAATAATTTTGTTATATAAAAGTTCTGATATTTATTTCCAATTTTTTAATTTATTTTTTTAAAAAATATTCCAATTAAAAGATTTATTATTGTTATAATTTTAGAATTAGAGATTTAAAAGATTTCTTTTCTTTTCCAGATTTANAGGTATTTATCCAAATTATACTGAAATGATTACGATATTTTTTCATTAATAAATAACAATAAAATGAAATGACAAATTTAAACATTTAATAAAGTATTTATTATTTATTAATAATGTACATATTAATGATAAATGAAATATGATATGGTTAATATCACTGGATTATTTTATTTAATTTAAATAATTTTGAAACAAAAAAGTTAATATCAAAAATATAAATAAACTATAATAATTAATTCAATAGTTAAATCAGTAGGAATAAAATATAATGATACATTGATATTAAGTTTAATATATTGATAGTTAATTCACTAATAATATATTGATGTAATTTTAAAGCATTCTATTAAGTGTCCATATACAGATCAAATATTGTATATTTGATTTGTATGTAGATACTAGAATAAGTTATAAATGATGTATTATCCTTATTAAATTATTTAAACATATGTCCTTTTAAGTCAGATCAATAAATCTGTTGAAGGATCACATTGTATTTAAAAGAAAATATCAGCTTTGAAATAAATAATACATGCCATAATATTGAAAATTACCAACATCTACAGTAATTTGAATTCTTTAAGTTTTTAAATTGAAAACATACTATTTTCATTCTTCAGATGTTTTTGAATGGCTTATATGTAAATATGAAATAAAGAAATAAATTTGATAGCCAAAGGTTTAAAAGCTGGATTATTTTATTTAATTTAAAATTACAGTTGACCCCCATAACACGGTAGATACGTTCCACTTTATAAGAATTTCACGTTGTAGGAATCCTTAAATACGTGAGCCAATCACAGCCCGGCATGTGTGCAGTTTACGGACTACGGCTGTTTGAAAGGTTTTCTTCCATAAAATTAATCGATTCTAGACTAATTTGACTCAACATTTCCAAAACAGGTATAATTTTTTGGGAATAATCCATATAAACTATGCTATAAACAAAAAATTGTAGGATTACTTACCGAGTGTGCACTGTTCGATGACACCATTGCTTAAGCTTGTTTTTTGTCGCGGAGCAGCACACCAAATGGCAGGCGTGTTTTCTGATAAGTTATTTTTCTGCGAAAAATTTGCTGAACTTTGGAGACATCATTAATAAAAATAATTTTTATGGCCATTGAATAAGAAATGTGTTTTTCACAAGAAATGTATAAAATTACAGTACTGTATTAGACTTACAGTACCTAATTTATATACTGTACAGACGATAGTAAACTCAACTTATCCGCCTAAACTCTCTGTAGTGTGTAAGTAGTTAAGCTGTTCATCCACTATTTGTCCAGATTCAACCAATCCTGTCACGACACGAGTTGGCGATGACGTTCTACCGCATTTTATGAGTCTCTTGTAGCATCTTTATACGAATACGGTCAAAATTTTTTCACCGCGATATATGAATCCACATTATATGAACCCGCGTTATAGGGGAGTCTACTGTAATTTTTAATTATTTTATTTTTGTCGAAAAGGGTGAGAAATCTACATGCATATTAATCTGTAATTTTTTATTAAAAACGATATGATTTAAAAGACCATTCTTCCATAATTTTTTGTGTGTTTAATATAAATTTATCATTTTACTTTTTTCATTCAAGAAACTTTTATTTAATTCTAACACTTAAAATTCTTAATTTGAACTATTGGCTTTCCACTCTAAGTATTTATAAATTTTAAATTACAGGATTTCAATTAGGTCCTATGAAAAATTCAGATTATTTAATAAAAACTGTATTTTGTTTGTTAATTTGAATGCAGTACTTTTATTGGTATTAGAATTTTGTTATAAGTTATTTAACCAATTCAAATATCAATTTAATGTTCAATGTTTTTTTGAATTTTAATGTGATTATTGTTTATAAAATATTTTTTAATACAATTATGCTAGATTCATAGGAGTTTGTTAATATTTATTTAACTGTAAACTTTATTGATTGTTTTGTTTGATAATATTCCTTTTATAAGTTGAAGTTTCTTTAATTATAAAGATTTGTTTTCATTGATTTACAGTAATTACAGAACAGTTACTATAAAAATAATTTTATTTTTGATATGTTTGTATATAGGTATATAAATGTTGTGTGTGTGTGCAACAGAGTTATAAATGTTCACATGCACATGTATGTTTATAACTTTGTTGCATATGGTTTGTGGTGAGTGTACTGAAAATATTATTTTGCTAATTAGTTTTTATACATATTGATAGATCTGATTTGCGCTTCCAAAATGGCTTAACTTCTGATAATTGTAGGAAGAGATACACTTTGGATTCAGGTTACAATACATCTGATGGAAGTGATAAGAGATGGTCTCAAGATTTTCAAGAGGTTTGTCATATTTATTTAATTTTTTTAAAATATATAATAAAAATTTTTTTTTATTTTAGAAAAATTTAATTCATTAATTTTTTAAAATTTTGTATGTTTTGTATTTAATTGAGAAATTGCAGTGAAAACAATGAATTTTAATGTAGATTGAAAAATTATGCAAAGTAATTACAGTCGACCCCCCTATAAGATAGAGATACGTTCCATTCTCTAGGAATCCGCTTTCTTACGAATCCTTCCAATCACAACCCGACACGTATCAAGTTTACGGACTACGGCTGTTTGAAAGATTTTCTTCCATAAAATTAATCGATTCTAGACTAATCCGACTCAACATTTCCAAAATACGTATATATTTTTTGGGAATAATCCGTATAAACTACGCTATAAACAAAAAATTGTAGGATTACTTACCGAGTGTCACCATTCGACATT